GTTTCCACCTCAGCGCTGTTTGATCTGATATGGTTTATAACAGAACTCTGCGCCGAATCGGAGTGTTTCTCACTGGATCTCGTGGTGTTGATGTTAATAATTCTGAGGCGAATTCAATGGATTTCTTCACTGGATCTCCTATTAACAGTGTTGCGTGAGCGAGATCGCCCCGCGAGTGGCAAGTTCAAGGCTTTATTTTACCGTCAATGGTTCGGATCGCTGCTGCTGCTCCACGGTCCTAATCATACATGAGTGGCGTATTTTCGTTCCACTTTCATTTTGTTTGCATTCGTTGCTAGTAGGTAACGAATAACGAGTCGATAGATCGCTGATTGCTCAGACGCACATCAGGTTGTGATATTTGTCTCCGTCTCCTTCCCACAGACGTTTACGCGCGCTATTCTTGTCACGGATTCATTGACGCGCCCCTTCCACGCTTTACCATGCGTTTAACGTGCGCCAAATTTACTGGTCGCACATGTGCGACTGGATGTAAAATTCAGTCGCACACTCTCAAATTTTGGTCGCAAAATGCGACCATTTGGTCGCAGTCTGGAGCCCTGCGATGGACTCTCTATTTCGCCCTGGCCACCCCATGGCCTCTCTGTATCGCCCTGGCCGCCCGATGGACACTCTGTTTCACCCTGTATGCCCGGTAGACTCTCTGTTTTGCCCTGTCCCCCGGTTAAGCCCTCACCCCTTGTTCCTGTCTCCCTTCATGGACCTGGCCCACCATACCTCCCCCTGATCCTCCACCGTTCCACCTCCCTCCTGAATTCTTGTGGTGTGTTGTATTATGTCGTGGAGCGTCTGGTAGCCGCTCTGTAGAGGGGGAGTTATGTCACAATGTCTGGTTGTGTTTCCCTTGTTTGTCACTAGAGGTCCTCGTTTTTACTGTGTCCTTCACTTTTGACTTCATTTCCCAGCATTCTGTCTGTCACTCATCAGTTCATTTCACTCAGCTGTTCCCCATAATCATTGTTCCCAGCTGTTCATTGTTAGTCTTGTTAGATCTGTGTATATATTCCCTGTCTGTGTTAGTATGTGTACGGAGTTGTTGTTATGTCACACCACTTCTAACGTATGTTCTAGCTTGTTCTTGTTTTGTTTCTCGTGTTTGGTATGATTATTTGTTTTTTGACCCCTGTCTGGAAGACTACGATTTGGATTACCCTATTAAAAGACTACTGCGTTTGGATCCTCTGTCCCCTGTGTGTGTTTGTGACAAGAAGATAGAATCGCAATTCATCTGTGAAACGATTTTTAACCTACCACCTCATTTACTATGCATTTTAATGCTATTTTGAAAAACACAGAATCTGTCACAAGTGGTTGCAAGGTACAGTAGGTGATCAACCAGAATGACACTTACCGCCGCGGCAAGTGCCGCGGTATAAACCAGCCGTATTTCAAAGTCGGTTGCAAAATGACCACCAGGTGGCACAAAGGGACATTTAGCCAAAGAAAAAAACGTACATTTTAAAACCTACATTTTAAATAGAATATTGCTTTAAATATAATCTAAACTTTTATAGCAGAACATTTTATTATCCAAAAGTTAAAATAGGCCTATCTCGCAGTCAGTGAAAATAAATTGGGTGCTTTCAATGACGCTAGGAATGAGAAAACTGAATCAATCTTTTTGGTTTAGTTTTGTTTTGAATTGTTCTGTTTACAAGTTGACATTTCAATATAGATATACGTTTCAGGTCTGTGGAGTAGGATACTTAGGCTATACGCTGAGTTTATGTTTATGAGACACGCTCCGCACCGGAATACAGAAACGCGCTGCAAATAACACGGTCCACAACGGAAATATTTCCAGGGAACCAAATAAGTGACGGACCCGACTGGGACTTGCTTATTGCTCGTGAGCTTCCCTATGCCCTACTCCCTTCAAAGGGCAGACGGCAAAGCTCTTCAAGTGGGAATTTGGCGTGAGCATGACACCTAGTGTGTCATTTATGTAGCCGTTTGGAACTTGATGAAGGGAGCAACAACAGACAACGTAATGTAATTATTTTTACCTTAGATGTTCCTATGACAATGCAGCACTTTGTCCATCAGCTGTATAGCTGTTCTGACGACAGAAAATGATTAACATAACAAACGGTTGCAAATAAATTATTTATTTTTACTTTATAAAAATCTGTTAAAATATCCATTTATATATCTGTATGTCAGTGCCATACATTACCTAACATTTTTAGGAAACTTTTCTTATGAAAATTTAAACATAAAATGAAACTATTTCTATAGTGTAACTGATGTATAGATTAATATCTTGCCTTCATGTTCTTCTAGATCTTTTTTTTATTTATTTAGTTTAGTTTTCAGATCATTGTTCTTTTCTCATTTGTATTGTGATGACATTGAACATATTGTTAACACATGTTGTATATTGTACACAAGTCGTATGTCATAATAATTTGAATCTCGGTGTTTTGCGGGGGAAAAGTCAAAAGAAATTAAATAAAACAAAGTCGAATTTTGAGTAAGCAAGGAGTATAGACGAACTATAAAAAATATAATAGTATAATATTATTTATATATACAATATTATTTTAATAGTATAGTTTATTTATAAAAAAAATATAGGCTTTGACTTCTTGTCAATAAAGGTTTTTTGCTGTAAGCACGTCCTGTGGTTCCAGTCGGGTCCGTCACTTATTTGGTTCCCCGGAAACATTTCCGTTGTGGACCGTGTTATTTGAAGCGTGTTTTTGTATTTGGTTGTGTTGTGAGTACTTGGAGTACACGTGTGTTGTGGAACTGATGAAGATGTTATTCTTAATTTGCGGATGTTTTTTTGTATTTGCACGCGTTTTTATAGTTGCACACATTTTTTTGTATTTGCATTTGTCTTCATCAGGTTGCAGCGCGGTGAGCTCTCTCGGCCACCGTAGAGAACCGCATTTTTTAAACGCCATGAGCGTACTCAAAGCCGCTCCTGAGATTAGGCTGCCGTTTTTAGTATGTCGTTTTTTCTTTAAATAATTCAAGAACAATACATGGTTTATTTTTGTAAAACTTTAAAACTGGCCTTTACTTTTTTTTGACGATTCCTCTGGTAGCTTTTGTTTGAAGGCATTCAATTGCTCCAAAAACACTAACGTTAGAAAAATTAGCCTACTGCACTTTATATTACCACTGGTAATATAACTTTATATTACCACTGGCATATGGTAAAAGATTAAAAATAGATATTTATTATCTATTTTGAGATTGTTTTTTTAAAGCCATTGTTTAACATTTAAATGTAAAGTATGTACATTTAAAATGTAAAGCACCTTAATGTAAACATGTTTGGTAAAGTAGTAGTGGAAGTAGTAACTCGCAGAATGCAAGACCTGACTGGTCATGTGATCTTAAATTGTCAGCTACCCATAAAGGGGCAGCATCCTTTATGTAAAATAAAAAACTCCTTTTTCTAAACATACATTTAATCATACATTTTACAGAAATAATTACAGAGTGCAGAGTTCAGTCTACGTGGATCACCATAAACCCCTGCAGTCTCAGTTAGAAATCCCAATCAGAGTACCATTATTGAGGAGCATTAATCTAGCAAGCAAACACAGCATTTAGCTTTGATTATATGCCAGTCAATAGGAGAATAAGCCTCTAAAATATTAACAAGCTTGTTCTGTTTACACTTTGTACACAACAGAAATTCTCAACCAATTAAAGCTCTTTACTCAAGACATGTGAACTTGTCTGAACCCTCTCAGGAACTAGGTATTCATTTACAGATGAAATGCAGAGCTCTCAAGGTCAGTAACACAAAGATGTTATTACTTGTGCAGTTTCAGCTAATCACAATGAAGAAGACTGTGTGTGTGTGTGTGTGTGTTTGTGTGTTGCCCTTCGCAATCTTAGTTTAGACTTTAGGCTTAGTGCCTTATTAAACATAGATTCTATACACAGATTCTGTGAACAGTTCTTACTGAGAATTATTCCACGGCTTCTGTATGACAGTCTCTCATGCTGTGCTCTATAAAAAGGAGTGTCTGAGAAGCTTGAATGACATTCTGACATAATCTCTGGTTACTCCAACACTACACCACATGACAAGAGAGTTACAGAGAGTCACACACTACTTAAAAATACGCATACAGTTTTTATGGTCACGTTAGAATGTTTGTTATTGTTAAGAGTGATAATTTGTCTGCAGCTTCGAAGGCAGACAAAATTTGATTTATATACATATATTATATATAGTGCAAGGTGCAACATTAAATATTATAAAACATTTTGTGCAAAATTATGAAATATAATCTACCAGTAGTGTTGTGGTACTGTAGGTGGAACAATACACTAAACTATATATTGACTAGAGCAATTAATTTAGAGTGAATTTATAAATGTATCGAATCAAATGAGACAATTTTAGCACACTGCTCAATTTTGAATAACAGTAGTAAAGGAATTAATGTTAAAACATTTGGTTAACATGTTGGTTAAGAGCTGAAGTATGTAATTTCTGAACCACTGCACATAACTGCAAAAATAAACATTGCTTTTAAAACTTTCTTTCTTAAAACACCCCCAGTCAGTCATTAAAAAAAAAAAAACAGTCCCACTCCCAACTCACCTATGAATGGTTTACTTATAGTGGTCTCTGCATAATAAGGGGGTCATTTTTTACTACTTTTTTTTTTTTTTGCTGTCTCCTCTGTCATTTGAACGACCGGTTGACTATGAAACCACTCCCTCAGAAACAGGCAATGGGCTCAGATTGGTTAGTTGGGTCGGTGTGTTGTGATTGGCTAAACTACGTAGTGCACGTTTGAAATATTTAAAGTATTTGATGTATTTTATGTGCAATCATGTAATTTGTAGATAAGCATCTTTCTATCAAGCTAAAGGTGACACACAAAGTACCTGTGTCATAGGTCTAGTTCATGTAAAGTTTTCAAATGTGAAAGAGAAACATTACAGGTAACATAACCACGTGTGTGTGTGTGTGTGTGTGTGTATGTGTGTATTTGCATACTCACATCGGTGTCTGGTCCTTTATCAGCTCCAGGGCATGAGAATGTGACAAATTCGTGGCAACGTTTATGGACCACAAAACAGCACACTGACAGAGAGAGAAAGATGGAGGTGTGTTACATTTGCAAATATCACACACAGGTAAATCACTGGTAAAAGCAAAGTGTTCAAGCCAACTAGGTTATCTTACTCTTCCTGGTTTGAGTATGTGAATTAGCAGACCAAAATGCAGGGCTCTCAAGTGTCAAGCATTGAGAGTGACAGTCACTCATTTCAGTCTTTTGTCATGCACTCTCGCCACACATTGTATTTCTCACGCGGAAACAAATATTTATACTATATTTAATATGCCTGTAGTGCCTAACATGTATCTGGCCGCCGCTCTCACTATGGAACCGGCAGCAATCAAGCACGTCTCCTCTGGAGTTCTTAGTCGAGCCTGCCCAATCAAAAAAAAAGAAAGGGGCTTCACAATAGTCAATCAGAATAGAGCACTATTGTCTCTGCGTAAGATTTAACACAACAACCAATGACAAAAAAGCATATGCTGGAATTCTTCACATGATTCTACAACAGCATCTTACGAAAGTTTAGTTTACCCACAGAGGAAATCACTGGAGCTTTGAGCATCACTTGGAGAACAGAGTAAATCATGATGAGTAAGTTTTTAATTACAAAATCTTACACAAACAATGACAACTTGACTGCTGTTAGAGAATGATTCCCAGATAATTAATATCAGTTTTTCATGAGTGTATGTAACTTAGCCAATAGTTTTACCGCCTGTTCACTGTCAACACCTGCTCAGAAGAAGTAGTCTAGGTCTAGTCATATTTTCCTTTTCGCACAATGGCTGACATATTGTCACATTATAAACATCTCTCTCTCCAAATAGGGCTAATCATTTTATTAGCACTAAATAAATTAAAATGTATTGCATAGTTGATGTTATAGTTGATTTTTAAAATCATGCCATATTTTATAATTATATCCTAGCCATGGATGCATTAATCATTGCATCTTTCTTTCAAAGATGTAGTTAAAAAAAAAAATAAGCATCATCTCATCTGCTCTTTTTCTCCTGCAAGTCTGAGCAATTATTAATAACCCCCCCCCCCTACACACACACACATCGTAAACTTTATTTATATAGCATCAAATACATACAAATTAAATTAAAAGGGTTATGTGTGTATATATGCATAGGCCTACATACATGCATACATACACATATATATATATATATATATATATATACACACACACACACACACACACATAAATACACAATTAATATATTATGTGGGTTAGGGTTAGTTATGTGTGATTTAAATATACATGTCTACTGTACATCTGTACATCGTATAAATGTATTTGTGGTTTTTTTTTTCTGATATGGTTTAGTCTATGATATTAGGGTAGGATCAAGGGGTACATTAGCCATACTGAAATGAATCCCGTTATGGAACAGTTATGGATCGTATTTAGGAACATAGTTAATTCACTCATGAACTATCTTTCAGTTTTCATAAAAAGTTAATATTTGCCGAACATTGAATTAGGGGTGTCCATGGTTAACCGGTTAAGGCTCGCTTAAGTGGCGTCAATACATATTTGCACAAAACTTTTGCGTTTTTTTTTTTCTGATTGTAGATAAAAAAATATTGTGAAATGACAGTGTTTCTATTAACGATGTTATGCGACTAAAACTTTTTTTTTTCCTTTCGCGATAAGCCATTCCAAAAATAATGGCAACGGACATTGGTATAGCTATCACAGCCACCGCACTAGACATTATTATTATTTGTGGAAGGAGACGTGGTGTGTCATCCAAGCATTAATGGCAGGGAAAGTCACAGAGTTTCTGTGTGTTCCTCCCTCATTTCTGCTCCGAGGTCTTGATTGCGGCATTTCTTTGAGGTTTTGTCTAGTAGGCTATTCCTTGTATCTTTTATGAATTTTAAAAAAAGAACTCTGCCTCGTATATGTCCAAAACGGTCAGTGTACTTTTGTGTTCATTCGTTTCCCCTAATTTAATCCGTAGGCCTGCAAAAAGAAAAATGAACGGTTGTTGTATTTTGTAAAACACAGAGTTGAACACCAAACCGTAAGAATATATAGGCTATATATCGACGAATTTTCAGATATTTGTTTGATTTTTTGCCCCTTTAAACATTTAAACTATTTGACAAATGAATATGGAAAAATTAACAGACAGGACAATGGAGAATAAACAAAGGGAATCCAAGAAACAGGCAGAGGTCAGGGCAGGCAGCAATAATCAGAGTCCAAGAACAATCCAAAGTCAAACACAGAAATAAACAAACGAGCAATAAACAACTTCTGTTTGGAAAACGTCCATTGTCTCCTGGTCTCCTCAGCTCTCTTCATCAAGGAGAAAAGTTTACCACACATGTTTCACACAACCAAGACACATCATGGCCATACTCCAGGATGACAATGTCAAGATTCATCAGGCTCAAATTGTGAAAGATTGGTTGCGAGGGAGCATGAAGAATCATTTCCACACATGAATTGTGACCTTAAATTCATTGAAAGTATTTAGGATGTGCTGGAGTAGACTTGCCTCCTGCATTTTCAAAACAAGATCTTGATTCTTGACCTCTTGATTGAAATAACATCACAGCATTTATTTCCATCAAGAGGTGGAAATGTATTTATAAATATTATATATATATATATATATATATATATATATATATATATATACACAACCATTTAAAATCACTTTCGTTTAATGTGCCAAGAACACACAAAAAAAATAAACTTTCATATAAACGTTCATGTAGCATGTTTCACAATGCAATTCCACAGTTCCATAAAGTCTGTTTTTTACACTATCCCTGGGCATTGGGCCGAACATTTATCAAATCAGATATTTTAAGAGACTTACTAATCTGGACGGACAATCATTAGGGTCTGCAGGAGTAGGCTCCTCATTACCTGTTTTATGATTTTTTTATGACCACCGTGCTTGCTGAATGTTTAATTCTGATCAGCGAAATGATTCTGGTTGACATAAGTTAAACACTGTGTCTACACCATACGCGAGTGTCAACCAAATACTATTTGAATAAAGGATGTACAGTAGATGTAAAATTTCCAATAGGCCAGACACCACTTTTGGCAAATACTGTACATGGCACTATAACATCAATTAGCTAAAGTCAGCACACTCCTGTTATGTGTAGCATATACCACTGTCCCTTTAAACAACAATACACTTCTGAAGTCCATCAAAAGTTTTTTTTTTTTTTTTTTTTTTTTTTTATATTAATATTTTTATCAGGTTCCTATGTATAGGTTTCTACCCAAGTACTGGCATTTCTGAATGGGCAGAGGCTGTGATTTAGTGAGTTTGAAGTTAAAGTATTTGATGAACATATATTATGTGCAAAGAGAATTCACTCAATAGTAGCATCTCATTTTGACAGAGGTGGCTTTTAGAGGCTTTTGCATCAGAGGGCTTCAAATACTCTCAAATTTGATAAGTTCATGCATTCCCAGGAAATCAAATTCATAATACCCATGGATCAAAGCATTCATTTGAGAAAGCATAGTCACACTTTATATAAAGGTTAAATTCTCACTATTAACTAACTATTAACTACAACAATTGCCTCAACACACATTTAATTACTGCTTATTAAAGGACAACTCCAGCGCAAAATGAACCTTTGGTCTAATTACACATTGTTACCTAGTCAACCGTTATCTGAGATTTGTTTTCATGATTGCCGAATGTAAATAGTTTTATCTCTAAAAACAGTTTAGCCTATAACGCTAGTATAACGCTAGTATATAGGGCATAGAGTAATGACAATGTTAGTGGTAATAACGAGCGATTTTTATTTGTCATTACTCTATGCCCTATATACTAGCATTATACTAGCGTTATAGGCTAAACTGTTTTTAGAGATAAAAATATTTACAATCGGCAATCATGAAAACAAATCTCAGATAACGGTTGACTAGGTAACAATGTGTAATTAGACCAAAGGTTAACTTCTCTGAAATGAAGTTGTCCTTTAATGTTGTCCTTTAGAGTTGTCCTTTAACAGCGAGAAAAGGCAGTTGTAATTGCGACTGATTGCGATTTCACTTTTTTCATTTTAAATAGTGTGTAATGTTGCTGTTGGTGCATGAACAGTATCTGCAAAGTTGCGGCACTGAAAGTTTAGTGTAAGCAGAGATATCGTCTTTTAAAAATCAGGAAATGTTGCCAACAAAAACGACTCGATTGGGACTACAGCAGGGTTTTAGACGTCACTAACCCACACATTTGCATTAACCCTCCTTCGGGAATATGCAAAAAAGGACATGCGCATATTTCTGCGGCTCGTCGAGTGTGTTATGTTCACCAGCTGCCAGGTCTTCTGTGTTCGAGCTTCCCACGGATGCTGTATTTCGTCAACAATGGATACAAGTTATGTTTGATTATGTTCCTGAAAATGACGATCGTAATCTAGCTCTCTGTGCTGCGCATTTTACAGAAGACAGCTTCCAGAATCTCCACGAGTTCAATGCCGGATTCAACAAGAAACTGTTACTAAAACATGAAGCAGTTCCAACTTTAAAACCAGAGGCAGCAGTTGTTGGTCCACAACCTGTAAGTAGGCTAAGACTTAATCATTTTAAATGTATTTGCATCTATAATTCCAGAGGTAGCCTTGTGTTTTATTTTTTTTCAAATGCCAGTGCTGGCTTTATAGCCAATAGGCTACTAGTTATGCTTTTTTTTTTGTCTACGACAAACACGTACAAACATTATGGACCTGAATTTTGTATAAGTACTAATTTTTTAAATGTATTTTTAATGTGTATATGTTTTATCATGTTATTTTCGATTTGATGAAGAGCGTAAACTAATGCCAATGTTGTTTGTGTTTAACATTAGTAGCCAGTCAGTTGCTATTGTTGCCAGTCAGATGCTATTGTGTAAAACAAACTTTTTTTTAAAACTGTCTCCACTGCTTAATAACACTAAGGCTCACTTGGAAATGAGGCCCGATGTCCAAAATTCCAAACCACCACTTTAATGTTAAAACAGAGTCAGTCAAAGATGGA